TGTCCCCCTGGGGGGTGGTAGTGGCGGTGGTGGTTATGTGTCTATCACTGCAAACGGTTCCCCCTTCCTCCCCTCCTTCTTCTACCTTCCCCTTACTCTCCTGGTATCACTATTCCCATTCCTGTTCCTGAGGGGTTTATCTGACCTGGATTCTGAGTGTTGAGAGCTCTTATCTATACATGCTCCGGTCTAGCCAGAACTGAAAGGCAGGACTGAGGTCATGATAGTGGGGGGTGAGGAAGCCTCAAAGAACCAGAGGAATATTGTGTGTTTCATGGGTGCGACACACTGCGCCCTGGTTGACTCATCCCTTCCTTGTGACCCTTCTGTGAGCAAATGTCCTATTGTCTATAGATGAGTTTTGGGTCTCTGCTCTGACCCCCCTCATTCCTAACAATATGATTTTTTGTTGTGGGTCTTCTGATGCCTGTTACCTGATCCTGTCAACACCTCCTGGTCACACAGGTGGGTATGCTTCATCCATGGAGGCTTGTTGCTTCTCTGCTAGATGGTTGTTTGTTAAGCCTTTAAAACTCCAGATGCTATACCTTTTGATATAGCCCAGCACCATCAGCTTTCTTCACCACATTTGCTTGTGGACCCATTTTGTCTTCAGTGATCGTGTCAGGAGAGTGGACACCACGGAATGGCTATTTGTTAGAACAAAGTGGCCATGCATTGAGGGAGGGCTTGAACAGAGGTCCAAAGTCCGTCCACTTCCTCAATGTATTGTCAAGTGAAAACCTTTTCTTGACTCTTTACAATAGTGCTCTCATACAGTAGGTGTCCTTTTCTGATGATTGACTAATTTCACTCATCATAATGCCCTAATTTAGGTTTATCCATGTTTTGATATGTGTGCCTATTCCACATTATTCTTTAACATTATGTAGCATTCCATTGTGTGTGTTCCATAGTTTTATTCGTTCTTCCAGTGGTAGGTATTTAGGCTGTTTCCATTATTTTGCTATTGTAAATAGTGCTCCAATGAACATGGGTGAGTGTGTATCTATTTGTGTTGTGACTCTTAAATTCTCTAATATATATGTATACCAAGTAGAGGTATTGCTATTGCTAGGTCATATAGTATTTATATTTCTAAATTTTTTTGGACAGATTTATTTTATTTTATTTTTCAATCATTTTATTAGGGGCTCATACAACTTATCACAATCCATACATACATCAATTGTGCAAAGCACATTTGTACATTCATTGCCCTCATCATTCTCAAAACATTTCCTTTCCACTTAAACCCCCGACATTAGGTCCTCATTTTCCCCTCCCTCCCCGCTCCCCCCTCCCTCATGAGCCCTTGATAGTTTATAAATTGGTATTTTGTCACATCTTGCCCTGTCCGACGTCTCCTTTCACCCACTTTTCTGTTGTCTGTCCACCAGGGAGGAGGTCACATATAGTTCCTTGTAATCGGTTCCCTCTTTCCTACCCACTCTCCCTCTTCCCTCCCAGTATCGCCACTCACACCACTGGTCCTGCAGGGATCATCCGTGCTGGATTCCGTGTGTTTCCAGTTCCTATCTGTACCAGTGTACATCCTCTGGTCTAGACAGACTTGCAAGGTAGAATTCGGATCATGATAGTGGGGGCGGGGAGGAAGCATTTAGGAACTAGAGGAACGTTGTATTTTTCATCATTGCTACATCGCACCCTGACTGGCTCGTCTCCTCCCCGAGACCCCTCTGCAAGGGGATCTCCAGTGGCCTACTAATGGGCTTTGGGTCTCCACTCCGCTCTCCTCATCATTCACTATGGTAAGATTTTTTGGTGATCCTGCGACATCTCATGACGGCATAGGCTGGTGTGCTTCTTCCATGTGGGCTTTGTTGCTTCTGAGCTTGCTGGCCATTTGTTTACCTTCAAGCCTTCAAGACCCCAGACGCGATACTTTTTGATAGCTGGGCACCATCAGCTTTCTTCACCACATTTTCTTATGCACCCATTTGACTTCAGTGATCCCTTCGACACTTCGTGATTGCACAGGCTGATATGTTGTTCCATGTGGGCTTTGTTGCTTCTGAGCTAGATGGCCGCATGTTTACCTTTAAGCTTTTAAGACCCTGGACGCTATATCTTTTGATAGCCGTGCAACATCAGCTTTCTTCACATTTGCTTATTCACCCGCTTGAGGAGAGATCATAACCTTTTCTTCATAGTTAATGAGACCACCACCACCTCTTCATTTTAGCCCTTTAAAAAAATCAGTTGTCTGTAGATAGATGGATTTATTCCTGGGTTCTCAACTCTGTTCTATTCTCTAAAGTCTATTTTTGTACTCTCACCAGGCTGTTTTGATTACTATGGCTGTGTAGTAGATTTTGAGATTGGGAAGTTAAAACCCTTTTTTGTTCTTTAACAGTGCTTTGCTTATCCAGAGCCTCTTTTCTTTCCCCTTTAACATGGTGATTCGTTTTTCTATGTCTTTAAATAATGATGTTTGTATCAATATTGGGATTTTATTAGATCTGTAGATTGCTTTCAGTAATATTGACAATTTTACAACAGCAGATCTTCTTTATCCACGAGCCTAGTATATTCTTTCATTATATACAGCTCTTACGAATTCTTGTATTAGTGTTTTGTAGTTTTCTTTGTATAGATGTTTTGTTTCTCTGGTTATAGTTATTCCTACATATTTAACCCTTTGCGTGACTGTTATAAATGGTATTATTTTCCTGATTTTCTTTCCAGAGCTCTCTTTATTAGATTAAAGGTACTGGACTGATTATTTGGATGATGATCTTGTATTCTGGCATTTTGCTGAGTTTTTCAATTACTTCCAACAATTTTCTTTACCAATTTGGATGCTTTTAATCTTACTTTCTTACCTTACAGCTCTGGCTAAGACTTGCAGCCCATTATTGAAAAGGAATAGTGGTAAAGGGCATCCTTGTCTGATTTCTCTTGAAAGGATGTTTTCAGTTTCTCTCTGTTGAGAGTAATGTTGGCTGTTGGCTTTGTATCAATGCCCTTATATCATGTTGAGGATTTTCCCTTGTATTCCTGGTTTTTCCCTTTTATTTTTGGTTGTTTTATCAGTAATGGTTTTTGCATTTTGTCAAATGTCTTTTCTGCATCAATTGATATGATCACGTGGTTATTTTTGTTTTATTTAGGTGTTGGATGTCATTGCTTATCTAATGTTGAACCATCCTTGCATACCTAAAACGAACCCCACTTGGGTATGATGCTTTATTTATTCACCTATTTTTGACATAATGTTGGATTCATTTGGTTAAGATTTGTTCAGAATTTTGGTGTCTATGTTCATGAGTTATATTGATCTGTAGTTTTCTTTCTTTAGTTATGTCCTTGCCTGGTTTTGGCATCAGTTTTATGCTTGCTTGGCACAAAATGAATTAAAAACTAGCCCATCTTTGGCCTAGTTTGAGTAGAATTGGTGGCGGCTCTTTTCTGAATGCTCAGTAGCATTCATCATGGAGGTTGGCTAGGTCTGGCCTTGTTGTGGTTGGGGGTTTTGTAAAGACCTGATCCATTGCTTCTTTGATTGGGGGGGGGGGTCTTTTAAAAAATTCTAGTCCAGTCTGTGTTTAAGTAGCTAATGAGTTTGTTGAAATTTAAAGTTTTTCTCAATTTTCGAATTTTTGGAGTTTTTAATAATATTCTGTTATGCTTCTTTTAAAGTATTTTTAAATTATAGAGTAATAATATGGAGAGAAACATTTGGTATGCTATCTGTACACATCTCAGTTTAGTATACGGACTTGGGTAAGATGTCACCACTTTTCTGGGAGGTATCCTATTTTCATGGTAATGGCCCAGGTTGGGGAGTCAAATAATCATGATTAGCCTTGATCCATTACCGACTGGGTGAACAAACTTAGTACAAATTAAGTTGTTTTGCTGCACCTTAGTTTTCTGATCTTTGAGAAACAGGGATCATGATAGCACTACCTATGGTTGTTGAAGAAGGCCTTCCATGAAATGGATTGACACAGTGGCCGAAACAATGGGCACAGGATGGGGCAATGTTTCAGTGTATCAGATTGCTTGGGTCAGAACCAAGTCTAGGGCACCTAACAACAACCAACACCTATGGTTGTTATGGGCATTAAAATGAAACCACATACACAAAGCGTTAAGCATGGATTCTGACACATAACTTATCCTAAAAAAAAGTGAGTCCCCTTCCTTCTTTAGATGCCTTCATTTGGCATGTAAAATTGTCATTTTTGAAAGTTTCAAGCACGATTGTAATATCGTAGTGCCATCTGGTGACCATATAGAACTATTACATTATCTCTATGTGATAGTGAGTTCTCATAAAGATTGGCACCACGTAAAGGTGGAAACATATAAATAACTGTGTTTAGGTTGTCATCTGGTGTGTTCTGGACTGTGTTCCAAAGATGGAAGTGAGAATTGAGCTACAAGCCCAGAGACTCCATCTCTACCCAAGTATCTTTTCAGATCAAGAGGCAAAGCTCAAGGCAGAAAGTAGCTTCTCCCATAGCCTACTTTGGTCCAACATCACCCCGTAAGACTGAAGCAGAGGCAGGACTAAATTCTGGATCTCTGTACTTCTAGCCATATTCATTCAGTTAAGCAAGACAAAAGTTTTTTTTTTCCTAAAATAGGCAAATAGAGTTTATGTCCAGTTGAGTCTAAGGGAGTTAATGGAAGGGAGGAGTTGGTGTTTCTCCTACTGGGAAGTCTGACCTTGAAAGATTTGGCCAATGTACTTCTGGCCTTGAGTCCAATCCCACAAGGTTTCAAAATTGTGGGTTCTCAAACACTAAGGTCAGAAGCTTCTTCTAAGTAGAGAATCGAAGAGAATCCATTTATACATTCCCAACAACCCCGCGACACTCACAAAAAAGAGTACTATCAGAAGACAATCAAGGCCTCTGAGTCCCTTGGACCTGTGCCTGGGCTCAGGTTTCACACCATTCCCCACTCCTGAACAGATCACCACACTGGTCATCTCTCCTGTGTCATCAGTTCAAGTCGAGACAGGGTGATTGGTTGTATTTGAACTTTATTGAAATTATGTAAGGCAGTGTGAATCTTCATAGTAGTTACAGAGTTTTTAAAAAGCATAGCAAGAAATGAGTGAGCTTAACAAACTAGAATTCATTTTTTAAAGTGAATGCACAGCAAGCTAGACTAAATGCTATAACTACTTTTTTTTTTGTTATCATGGCTGAAGCGTTGAATAAAATGTTGGTTGAAAAACCGGGGATTGGGGTTTGATTAGTAACAGCTTCATGGAGGAGGTGGCATTCGTGCTGGGCCTAGGAGGGGTAGAATGCTGACAGATGAAGGACTGAGGGAAGAACATTTCAGCTTCACTGACTCTATAGAACAAAATTCTGAAAAACAAGAGGGCAAACAACCCCCCCCCCGCCCCTGGGAAGTGAAACTTCCCAGCAGAGGGAAAAACCTGAGGGGCCTGGGCTGGGACACAAAGTCTCAAGCCCCCAACTGGGCCTTCAGTACCAATGCTCTTCGGTGGCACACGGCAACAGGCTCGTTTGTAAACCTAGCAGCAGCAGCAGGAGGTTTCACATTGCAGTCAGGGGCCATGCTCTCCCTCTCCAGATGGATTCTCTCATGCCTTCAGCATATGACACTCCCTCTTCCTTCCTGTTGCCTACTGACTAGCTGAATGGTAGTTCATGCACGCCCCTGTGCGCACGCTTGAGTGTAGGTGTGTGTGGGTGGGTGAGAGGGAGACCGAGGCTTTGTCTCTCACTGTAGTTTCTTTCATTTTCCCCCCTTCTTATGGCACACAGCTGGCTTCCAATGAACTTGAGCTAAGGCCCAAGCATACTGGCTGCAAACTCGAATCTTTCATCGAACTTCAGCTCTTGACTAAGCACCTAAGAAGCTTCCTCAACATGAAGGTACAACCTATTGTGGGGTGGGGGTGACTTGGGTTAAAACAGGACTACACTTTCTGAAGGTGGTGATACTGGTGGTGGTCAAGATTGTGTAGTGGCAAGGGTTGGGTACTTAGAAGCAGGCTCTGGCTACTCGTAGGCAGGCTGCTGGGAAGTCTGAGGTGTTCAATCAGGAGCTGAGATGTCAGGCTAGACCTGCTTGGCCTTGATCACTCCTCCTTCCTCATCATGCCCTACAGGATAATACAATGGTCATGTGGATGCAGCAAAAACATCTACAGGGTGCCCAAGCCCTTGTTATTGTCCTGCTAGAATCTGACCCCTGGAAGTGCCAGGGATCTTTTGCTTGGTGTTTTGATCTCCAGATAGAACTGTCACCTCCCCCCTGACCAGCTGCTGGAGGTATATAGGTTATGTAGCTACTGATGCTACTGGGATCAGGAGGTATGGGGGTTTGGGGGTTTGGTGGGAGGGCTAATCATAAGAGAGATAAGGTTAATATTTGTGAATTTCTTTCATTCTATAGATTGTAAATCTGAGATACGACTTGGTCCCTGTCAGGAACTCAGGGCCCAGTCGGGATTCTCTAGGATGGTGAATTTAGATTGAGGTGAGATCTTCGCTAGAAATCACTTTGAAGGTGATGTGGCCTTGCTTGACTTTGGCATTTGGCCCCCCTTTCTCACGCAGGTACAGAGACTTCATATCACGGGAGTCATCGGGGTCAGCATCCAGAGTCACCTGGCCCAAGAACTGATCAAAGAATCTTCGTTTGTTCCACACCTGGGGAGACAAGGCAAGACAATGGGGATGAGCAACCTTTTGTGAGATGGGCCTTTGCCCAGCCTCATCGAGGATCTCATGCTGAGCATGGAAAGATCTGTTTAAAAGTCAAGAGACTATCTTGTTTTGCTGATGCCTTTGCCTGAGAGCAGGGCTCTTCAAAGAATATAGATTAAACAAAAGCAGGAGAACAATGAAAATAACTGCCAGACTGCAGTAATCCATCCTGACCTAGCGGCATAAGTGGCATCTGTATTGGCATGCATTTGCCCTCATACGATTTTAGGATATGTGTGTATAAGTGTGTAACCATGAGCATTTGGGTTTCACAAGGCAAGGGAGAAGAGCACATTTATGGTGAAGATTAAGGAAGTCAGTGCCTGTGCCTTATGGCAAATGGCTCTGAGTGCAAACAAACAAACAAAGAAACAAACAAAACAGGAAGATAATCCTTGCTCTGCACTGTAGTCCTCAGTGAGATCCTGGGGATACTTTAGTCAACTGGCCTTGAGGGTCCCCTTTTTGTAGTCTCACCTGGATGATGATAGGGATGTCAGTGGTACGCCTGTAGAAAATGGCCTGGGTGTCAAAAATGGGATGGACAGTATTCTTTTGGACAGGGGAACGGACTTCCTCCTTCCCACACTTGATGATCACATAGGGGTTGACAGCTGAAACAAAGTCATATTGGGCTTCAACACAGTGACGATTAAAGTTCCCTTTCCAGACATGCAAAAGGCTATCTCAGTAAGTCTATTGTGGGACTTTCAGAAGAACACCCTAAGCACCAAAAAATCTAGGGCTACATCTCTTTCCTTTTCCACACCATAAGGAGGGATATTAGGTAGGCTCAACTATACACTCCCTTCTCTGCCACGGTTAACCGCCATCCTTACTGCCCTAGACTGAAATACCATCACATAGAGTCATTTGTTACCCTCTCTTTGAGTCATACACACAAAAAAGGAAACTGCATTTGGCTTTCCCAGACTCCCCCGCAGTTCTTACTTTCGTTGGCATACTTCTTCTCCAGACACTCAGCACTCTGCACAGTGATTTGAGTGATCACCTTCGGGTAACCACGAGCCAGGTTCCAGCAGGACATCTTGGGCATGTCCATAGTCAGTTCCCTGGAACATCCAAAAGAAGACAAATTCTCTGGTGACGAATGCCTGATGAAGAGCTAGGTCTGCCAAAGCCGCCACTGTCGCTGAGAACGGAAGCTGGGGACTGCCCTAGTGGATTCCTCCCGAGACATGCCCTGTGGTTACTGATTAGGTTCTCTTTACCTTTTTTTTTTTTTTTTGCTTTCAGAAGGACCAGCAGAAAAGGATGGGGGTGGGCGTGGGGTGGGGTGGGGCAGAAAGTGACCTAGTCCTCGCAACCTAGTGACAGCGAGGAGTGCCAGCTGTTTCCGAAAATGGTGCGTTAGCCAGAGAACAGAGGGTAAACTCAAGCGAAAGAGCTTGAGTGATAGGCCTGCTCTGCTTTTCTGACAGTTCAGAGCTCAAGTAAGGAATGTCCCTGGATCTCACTTAGAGAAATAGTTACGTCTGACAAGAACCAATGACCCCATTGGGTGTCTGCAGGGGAAGCAAGGTCAGAGAGTGAGAATTAGAGGCTGAGCAGAGCAGAGGGTAGGGGCTTGCGGGGCCGAGCCAATCACCTGAGCTTCACAGGCACTTCCGAGTAGATTCTCAGGAGAAACTCGCTGGTGCGGCCATGCTGGAACATGGTGGGGACAAGCACATAGTTGCCCTTCTTCAGGTACTTGCTCAGAAACACGGTGCGGGTGTCAATATAGGTGGACGTCCCAGCACGCTCCTGGATGTAGTGGTTGTGGAGACGGAATTTGCGGTTCACCTCCACCTGGAAATGAGATAGGATGAAATCCTCCATACAGTTCAAATCAAAAAGTTTTAGTTTGTTTTTTGATGGTTTATGGTGGAAGATCCCAGGCCCTCTGATTTCTTTCTCCACAACCCTCTTTATAATATTCCTCTAAGACCTTGATTTTCCTGGTGTTGCCTGTTTGCCATCCTTCTCTCTGGACCCAGTGCTCATCCTTACCTTGAAGAGCTCAAAGCCGATGATGTAATTGTCAGGTCTTCCCATTCGGCGGTAAGCGCGCAGGTCCTTTTGCTGCAGAGACATGATGACCTTGGGCCCGTCCTCAGGCACGGTGAAGATGTACTAAGGGAAAGAAGTCATGGAAACTCTGAGTCAGCTGGGATTCCAGGGAAGAGAACTACTCTGGGAACCACAGAGACCTGGCTGATTTTTCTAGTCTCTGCTCTGGACCAGACAAGAAGACTTGCCTTGTTCACTGCCTCACTAAGTGCCGATCATGACACTTGCTTCTCCCTCTGGCATTCATTATGTTTGGGGTTGCAGGGTGTGTGTGTGTGTGTGTGTGATTTCATATCTAGAGCTTCCATCCTGAAGAGGGTATATATTTTGTTTCAGTAACTTCCTGGTGTGATCTGATTTTCTTGTCATCACCTCATGTTTTCGAGATGTGTCTTCAAAATATGACTGAAGTCAGAAGCAGGTGGCTGGCTTTACCAAATGAAAATGTATTCTTCTCACAGTGGAAGAGACTAGAAGTCTGTATGCAGTGTGGCAGCACTGGGCACCCTTAGTGGAATTTGCCAAAGAGGGCCAACGTGGGACATGGTTTCTTAGTTCCTGAAGAACTCAGAAGCCGAGAAACAAAAAAGGGCTCAAACCTGGGGATTCTGCAGGAAGGTATCCCGGTTGTTGTAGCATCCCCCAGAGCGGTTCATCAGGGGTTCATCATCCACGGTCCAGCATCCCACCACGGATTCTAGCTGCTTTCGGCCAAAAGTCGGGTTGCTCACATTGCGGCAGACATTCAGCTCATGAAAGTTGCGGCAAAAGTCCTCCAGGCTTATCCTGAACGGGAAAGAGCATGGGGAGAACACAGATGATCATCCATACCTAGTCCTGTCGTTCCACGTAGAAACCCCAATAGCCACCGCGCAGAAGGCCTCTGCTCACCAGAATTCTCCATCATCAGACATGATAAGTCCCAGGGTCTTGCGATCCGTAGAAGTCAGCTGCTGCCATTCTTCAGAACTAAAGTAAAACAAAGAGCAATGGGTTGAGCTGCTGTGCTTTCGCTGACTTTCCACAGTCAACATGGCGTCCAAGGCAACCCATTCATGAGGATTGGGCCCGCTTTATCTCACTTTTGACGTGGTACCTGGCAAGAGCCCACTGGGGTCTCTGAGCATTGAAAAACCCCTCGCGCTCTCTGGAGGGAGGGACTCGGGAGGGCACGGGGCTTGGAGGGGGGGGGGAAGCTGGTGACGTAGAATGCTACTTACATTTCACTCCAAGGGCCACTCCACTCCTGTCTTCCCAAAGGATTCCTCAGGCGAATCATGTACAGCTTCTCAGTACTGAAGACCTCCAACAGTCTGTCTCCCAGACGGAGCTTCCGAATATCAGTCATGATGTAGGTATGGCCCTTCAACAGACCCCAGTCAGTTTCCACTTCCTGTTCCTCCTGAGTGGGAGCCTACGGGCAAAGAAAGCATCCTACATAAGGGCCCAGGACTGGGGCCACTCAGAGCCTCCCTCTCCCTCTTCTGTGTTTGACTTGCCCCAGCATGGTTAATGTTAATCTTCCCTGTGCAGAGGAAAATGCAATCCTGTAAGTAAGTGGACACACAGAAGAGAAGCAAAGAAAACCATGAAGAATCCACACTAGGAATCTTACTTCCATCAGCCGAATTCCAAATGGAGCTCCATTTGTACGTTGATACAAATGTCACTGGAATTTGTTATGGTTCATTCATTCCTTGGGGGAGCAGCTGTGACTTGAACTTGGATCAGAGGCAGGAGGAATCAAGGGGAAGGCCTATTCACCATCAGCTAGGATGGCACATTGCCCACACCCCCAGCCCCCAGATGTAATGCTGTTCCTTCGACTTTCGGGATAAAGCTACGAGTTCTAGTAAAATCTGCCAGGGCCTGATTGGAGTGTGCAGAGAATGGGTATTTCTGGAAGAACACAAACCTCAATGGTGCAGCAAATAAGCCCTCCTTTGGTAAATGTCTTGTACAATTCTTTGAACAGCTTGTACTTCTCCTCCACAAGCTGAGTGTATCGTCCCTTATACATGTCAACAGTTTCAGCCAACGTGCCGGTGAAGTCCGCAATGATATCAGTGGTGGTCAAGCTGTCTATGGCCTCATAGCAGCCCAGCAGCCTGGGAGACAAAAATGCAAGGTTATCTTCCCAAAAGGAATTGTCCAGGTCAGGGACACGATGTTCCCAAGAACTAGAGCAGTGCTTCCCCAGCCTTTACCAGCTGGATTTTCGCTAGATAGAGAATGGAAGTGGTCGGGATTATATCAGAGAACTCTAGCTTAAACTCTGTCGATTCAGGACAGGGCAGGACAAAAAAACCTCCTTTCTACCAGTAGATATTAGATTAGGACCACATTTGACACTGCAATGCCGTGTGATTTGCAGATGAGCTGTGGGAAGGGGCCTGTAGGAGAAGGTGGGGTTTGAATGAAATCCCCCTATGGCTCCTTTTCCCGACAGCCAGTCCTTGGACTCAAGGTCTGAGCTAGGAAAGAATGCGCTCCTAAGGATGGGTGTGCCCTGACCATGGCCTAATACTCATCCTCCCTCCTTACTTTGCATAAGCCTTTTCCAGGAGAGCGTTCCAAAACTCATTCATGGAGGTGGAGAAAGAGAAGACAAGATCTCCATTGATGGTGGGCAGCAGATCATCAATCACCACCTCGGTCCATTCTCCAAAATGCCAGAAACGGAAGCGAAATATTCCAGCATATTTATTTGGTTTTCGAGGGTCCCATTCTTGATCCTTCGCATTGGGGATTGTCTGGGAAAGCAATGAATGTTTCATCAAATGTTATTCACTAAATCATATCCAGGTATTGATACAGTTAAGCGTCTGTCAAATCCACGTGGCAGCAGGAAACACGCCAGATATACCTGGTGTGTGACCACTTTGGGAAGGTCCAGGTAGGGTTTTTTTGTCTATGCCATGGGCATCCCTAATTTTGTTTTGTTAAGGATGCTATTACCGTGCCTGCTCTGAATGCACACAGGAGTACAGAGCATGTCTGAAGACAGCCGGCCAGGAGTTAATCGTTTCAACATACAATATAGCAACTCGATGGTCATGCCATATGTGTAACCATTAAATAAGGCATTTTCCAAGGCCAGACAAATCAAGATATAAGGACTACCGTGCTCCAAGTTTTTAAAGAATTCATGTATTCTTCGTACAATCATTTAAGACATACGCTAAGTGACTTCCTGGCCCCTATCAATGTCATGCCCCAGGAAGTAGAAAGAGTAATATTATGCAGAAATATTGAGTCCATAAAAGATCAATGGAAATGAAGCACAAAACATTGCTAGGAGATTGAAACTGGTTTATATGAAACCGAAATGCTGAACACATGATATTAGTCATTCAACATCCATACATCTGTCAAATGCAAAGATTGCACTCTGGTGTTAATGATGGACTCTAGTTGATAATAATCTATTACTGTTGGTTCATCAATTGTAACACATGTACCCCACGAATGCAAGCTGTTCTTAATGGAAACGTAGAGTGGAGGGGTCAGGGATGTGGGATAGGGGGGACTCCATACACCCTGCACAATGTTTTATGGAAAACCAAATCTGTCAAAAAAATTTCTTAAAAAGAAAAGATGAAATAATATATGTGGCAAAGCAAATAAAGTAAACGATTCCTGGTAGAATCCAGGGGGTATATGAGTCTTCTCAGTAAATTCCTTTGGACACTTTTGTGGTTGTGAAAGTTCCCATAATAAAATGGGAGATGACGTCCCCTAGGTCATGCCTCTGTCTTCAGAAATTAAACCCTCTAGGAGCAGTTTTTTCCCCCAAAGTGATTAATGAAGACAAAAGGATGTAAGCCAAGTGAACTCCACAGGAGGGATAATACCTTTGTCCAGTGCATCTCCTGAACGGCCAAACAGGAAAATGCAGAGATCATTGGCTTGTGCCCCAGTCTTCCTTGGGTCAGCTGATGGTTGCTGATGTTACCCACAATCAGACGGGGATCATCGCAGATGTCCTGTAGATACAATTGCTCATCAGAGTCTGGTAAGAGTGTCTTAAAAGTCACTGAAGGCTGATATAGTCCGCTAAGGCTTCACAGAAGACATAGTGTTTAAAGAGGACTAGAATTAAAATGGAATAAAGGAAGATTTTAGGAAGTTGTGAGGAAATGGGTTATGTGAGGCGATGGCAAGGGAAATGTCAGGAGAAGTAGTTTGGAACCAGGTTGTTGAGGGGATACAGCATGATTGATTGAGAATTGCTGGTGAGGACCCTTAAGTGTAGCTACCATTCAGGTTTGGAAGAATTTTAAAGTAGAGGACCCTGACCGCCATGTTCTCCCCACCCCCAGCCCCCTCTTTGATCAGAATGAGATTTTTCTGGAGTACCTGTGCTTGGGTGATTGAATCTAAAGGCTAATACCTGATGGAGGGGAGCATTAATGCTTTGCCCCACTAGGAAAATGTAAAAGGAAACCTTATACATGAATCCCATGTCTAACAGAAAGCAAAGGCAACAGTGATCTCCATGGCAACCAGGCACTTTCAAATCTTTAGTTAAATATAGGTGGAATCATTAATGGTAGATGATAATAGAAAACTCACAGGAGCACTACAGGCATGGTGCAGGGGGTCTGGGCAGAGAGTTTTTATGTGGGGCGTTTATGTGTGTGTTCTTTCACTGTGCCATTCCCACCATGGGTAGGGAGAGGAGACTCGATAACACAACTCCCATACACTATGATGAGGGCACAATGGAGCCAGATTTGCAAGGTAATCAGAATAGGTTCCACAGTTGTGGTGACACTTGAGTTAAAGCTTTAAGGATGAGTAGGGTTAGACCATTGGACAAAAGAGAGAGATGAAGGCATTAACAGAGACATGCATGGGCCTAGACATAGCAGTATACATGGCACCATCTAATTGAGACAGGATTGTGTGACTCAGACTATTAGTACTTGCAGACTTCAAAGGCAGGGAACAACAATGAAGTCTTGAGTTGATGGAGAAAATCTTATGGAGGCAGCTTTTGGCCAATACCTTGACATTCTGCTTACTCAGAAGAAATAAATCCTATTCTCAAATGGAAAGAAAATCTAGACATATCTCCTTTTGAGAAATTGCTAAATCAAGACAGCTATATTTTCCTGTTTCTCAAATATCTCTTTCCTTTTTAACAAAGATAATTCTCTTTGGTGAAGGGTCTTGGTCTACAGAATGAAACATTCCACGTAGTCTTTAAAAGCCAAAATAACTTTGGAAAGGAATAGGCATTCGGGGCAGGGACAAGTCCAGACTGGAGATTAATTGGACATACCTCTGCCAAAAGGCCTTGGTTAGGTGAATTGTCAGCTTTGGCTTTTCTGCTCTTTTTTTTTTAAAAAATTAAGCTGAATGTCTGGTGTCTCATTGCTACATTGTGTCTTAGGAGAAAACGGTAAATCCTTTTAAGGGCTGAGAATGAATGGCTTTTTAACGTACTTACGGAACATAAACAGGTTGAGCTGGGTGTGTTCAATTCTGATATTCTTGCTCTTCTCGTGGTTCCTTTGCCCTTTCTAAGATCCTAAGCACCATTTGTCCTCCCTAGGCCAGCGTGTTACCATTCTACTGAGAACAAGATGTAAGGCTATATGGTAATTTCTTGGACCTGGATGATGCATAGCATCATTTCCAAGCATGGAAAAACAATAAAGCAGACATTGGATATGTTAAAAATTTGGCTTTTAGATGATGGAGGTACATTATTTGCTGGTTTTATGTAAAGTTATTAGTGGTTGGGGTTACAATGCAGTGTCTTGTATTTTCTACAAGGTTTTAATTTCCCAGCAGGGACCTAGGCTTAGCCAACACTTGGGCATGCATGCCAGCTTCTATTCAAGACATAAAAGTTCACATAAATGAGCAAAAAGATATTTTTAAAAAATTCAAATCCAGGAACTACATTTTATTCTCCTGTGGCCCTCAGCTGGATATGATTTTGTTATGTGTGTACAGGTGTGTTTGTATCTGGGGGGCGGAGGGCAGGGGGAGACTATACATTTGCATACAATCTCATTTTAATCCCTCACTCCTTATAGACAGTGGCTTCTTAACACTGAGTTTCAATTGTCACCAATTCGGTGCTAAGAATGTCAAAGCTAGAAGGAATCCTAGGCGATTATGTATGAGAAAGTGCGTTTTCCAGATGAAGACATGCAGGCTCAGAGAGGATAGGTAACTTACCTTTGGTCTCCTAACTCGTTAGTTGGAGATCTAACACTCAAATGTTAGATTCTGCAGGACCTTATAGAGCTCAAGACACCTCAGGACCCCATCTGCTCCACCCCCTTCAGTCTTTAGGCTTATCCATGACCACTGCACACATCACGATGCTCTCCAAGGAAGGAGATGTTGCCCTCTCTCTCAGTGTTTCATGCTGCTTTACTTTAACAGTCCCCTAAGAGCTCTCCACCTGTCTAGAATGCGTACTTAAGCCATCTGCTAGTTTACCCCTCTCCCCTAACTATCTTTACGCGGTTGTAATCTTCTCAGTTTTTATTCACTAAAGAGATATCCACTCCATCATGTGAACTATGGGAGACAAGCCCTTATTAAACTACATCGTCTACTCCCTGAATCAATAAAGGCATGAGAAGAGCAGAAAGCAGCCAAGGAGGTAGAAAGTGTAAAGGGTAGAAAGTGTAAAGGGTAAGGAATCAATGAAAACCGAACAGCCCAATGGACTTTTCAGTGACACATTTTGGAAAGAATAAAAGGGATGTTCTCAGTGACTTTCCCCTAGTTCCGGACACACTGGGTGTCCTCCTCTTGGGGATAAGGCAGCCAGGCTGGAACAATATTTCTGTTACTCAAAGCGGAGCCTCAGAGCCAGATGGGACATTTCAGTGGGAGCTCTGCTGGAGTGAGGGTGGGGAAGAGGTCACAGCTCACAGATTCACATATTTGGGTGGCTTGGGGAGGGAGGGGAGATGCTGAGCCCCTAATGGCTACCAGCTGTGTTGGCAAAGTCGAATTTATCCTTGAACTGGGCTGTTTGTCAAGGAGAAATCATTTCTTGGGGAGCACACAACTAAGAAGTTGAGCACCAAGAGCAGAGCCAGGAACGGTCCATCCTGTCCCCACCCCCCAGCCTTTATCCTAAGCCAAAGCCTTTGATGAGCAAAGCAAAGCAGCTTTTCTAGGAAGCAGGTTCTCTTCACTGGGCTGTGAAGGAACCCTCTCGATGGCTTCACCTACTTTGCCTAACCAGAGTTCTTTGAGGCTAAACCTCACGAGCCAAGGTAAAAGAAAACAGAAAAGCCACACAGAAAGCAGCAAGCAAAAGGATTGGGGGCACTTTCAAAAGGACCATGTGCAGTCTAGCACTCTGGAGGACCTGGGAGTGTGGCCACCCACCAATGAGGACAGTCCTGCAGTGGGTGCATTATGACTCAGTCCAGCGTTCTTAGAAGGTCCAGCCCCAAATGTGCACAAAACTGTCATCTGTGACCAGAGGGTTTTGTGATAGTTAGCCCAAGTGATGATGGCCTCATCTTTACAAAACTGAATCATCACCAAATGGAGCATTTAAAAATGAACTTGGAGGTGGGGGTGGGTGTCAGGTACCAGTGTTCAACCAGCCTCCTATAGACTCCATTTTCCCAGATGGGGAATTTCCCTTTTTCTTATCATCAAGAAAAGACTTTCTTCCTTCCTAAGCTCCCCAAGGAAAGCTTAGTATGAAGCTGGGGAATAAGATCCATTGGCTCTCTTCAACCCGATTTCCACTCCCAACCTAGACATTCAAGTGACTACGTACTTTTCCTCTCCTTGGAAGCTTCAGACTTCTGCCAGGAGACTCCAGGTGTAAAGCCCAAACTGCTTGGTTAGGTGAGAATTCATATATTGATGCACTGGCATACAATTCACCAGTAAAACAATACACACTGATACATGCTGTGACATGGATGTCCTTTGAAAACATTATGCTAAAGGAAAGAAGCCCATCACAAAAGGCCACATGTTGGATAATTACATGTATAGGCAAAATCCAGACTAGGCAAACTCATCGATAGGAAGCCAATTGGTGGTTGGAAGGACTGAAGGTAGGGAGAGTGGTATGTGACTGCTGATGGGCATGGTTTCATTTGGGGAGGAGCAAAATGTTCTAAAAGGCAAAAGCTTTTCAACATGGGAGGGGAAACGGCCAGCAAACACCAGGTTTAATGGTGCTTCTTTGCTTGTGGAGACTTCCGCTAACAGGCCTGGTTGAGGGTGAGACTCCGTGGCATACTGAGGGGGCAGGATGTCTGGGATCTTCCCTGAAAAGTAGAATCGCAGGCCTGCCAATGAGACTAACGAAGCCCAAGACCCAGCTAGTCTTCCTGAGCCAATTCAGAGGCCCACACTGTCTCTCAGCTTTCCTGACGGAAGGCCAGAGAACTTTGACGTGGTTTTTGACCACAGCCTTGGCCTCCGCTCTGGCTGGAAAGACATCCACGGTTTGTTGAGGAGGCTCAGCTGGTGGTCCAGAACCTTAGATTTCGCCCCCTCTTGCTCTCCACAAGAGGCCCCTTCCCCGACCACTCCAATCCACATGCATCTTTCCTTCTTGAAAACCCTACAAAATGTACTGTCTGTATGCTGAAAATAGCACTTCTTTTTAATCTGGCATTAATTTATTATGGAGCTCTTGAAAGCTCAATATGAATATCTCCAACTAGAATGGGAGGGCCTCACCACAGGGCTCTAAGTGTTACAGGTCTGTCTGTATCTGGCACAGAGGCTTGCATAGAGTACTCACTGTGGTTGAATCAATTCCGACTTATAGTGACCCTATAGAAGAGCAGAGCTGATCCATAAGGTTTCCAAGACTATAAATCTTTAAGGAGGAAGACAATCTCATCTTCCTCCCTTAGTGCAACTGGTGGGTTTGAACGGCAGACCTTGTGGTTAGTCGCCAAACCCTTAACCTATGATGCAACCAGGGCACCTTGGCATAGACCAAGCTCTCAATAAATATTTCTTTAGACACTCCCTTTTGGCTTCCTAAGACGAAGCTTACAGGATGTTCGCAAAAGGAATACAATCAGTCAATTAATGGATGTGCAGCTCAGTGAGGCAAAACCTGAACCTGGTTGCAGAGGAAGCTATATATTGTAGCCACACATAGTGATGCCAACATCTCCTTCTCCCAGAAATGGCAACATGATAGAGGGAAGAGGTGTGTGGCCTGGGAGGCAACCATGGGCTCAAAATAATTGTGATCAACGTCAGTTTTAAAATAATAATTTGCTAAGTTCTCACCAAAAAGGGTGAGATGAAATAATGCATAGACAACGTCTCAGAAGCTTGGCCTGAGTAGGCAGGCAGCAAAGGCAGACTCTCCATCCCTGATCCCAGAGGGTCCCTATGAGTCCAAATGGATTCAATGACAGTGAGGGAGGGAGGCCCGTCCACCCTCTTTCGGACACTCCCTCACCCTGGAGGGTGGACTGTTTTCCTGAGACAAAATGGACGATTGCCATGGTTATTAAGTTTTTCCTTTCCCGCTCATCCATCTAAGATCCAGTCCACATAGTTTGGAAGGTGAAGGCAAAGGACAAAGGCTTGAGCCAAGACAGACGGGGAAGGATGTGTCTAAAGATTGGCCAGTACAGGATGCACTGTTGGCTTGGCTCGCATCTGGAGAATGGCTTCGTGTTGGCTTGCAATTTTGCCGCCCACAGCATCTCATCTCCTCCTGGACCTCACTCTCTCAACCCCGCCCCCTCCTGTGTATTCAACCTCTTCTTCTTTACTGGCTACTCCCTAGTCTATACATATGTTCAAGTCTTTCCCCCCTAAAAACTCCCTTAATTCCTGCCTCCCCTTTAGCTACTTTTGCCCTGTTGACCTGTCCTTCATATCCAAGAACCTGATCACCCTTCATTATCATCACCCATTTATTCATAAGAGTGGCACAAAGGCAACAAATCTTTATTTGCTCAGTGGATTTCTGATAAGAAGGGAAAAAAGCCTTAGCCAATCTGCACACTCGATTAGTGGCTAATGAATTCTGCTCATGTTTCCCAGATTTTTATTGCAGGTCAGCAAAAGTGAGCTCCAGGGATATCACCAATTGAAGCCACAGGAAAGGCAGGAGGAGAAGAATTGTCCTTATGATGGAGAGGACTTCCCCAAGATTAATTATCTCAATGGCGATCGTTCTGTAAGGGACATACTTGAGGTTCAGGCTTTGGCATAGAAGACAGAAGTACCCTGGCACCCCCTGGTGGTAACCCACTTAAATAGCTTTGAACCTCCATTTAGGAGCAGAAACTGTGGGACTGCAAGTAGAGTGCTGTTTGTCATTGGGAAAGGCGAGCCTGTAGCTGGGGGTGTGAGGACGTTTCATAATGTTGCTGTCGTTGGAAGCTGTAGCGTGGATTCCAACACGTAGCAATCCTATAGGACAGGGTAGAACTGCCCCCGTGCGTTTCCAAGACTGTACTCTTTGCGGGAGTAGAAAGCCCCTTCTTTCTCCCACCCTATGGGGTAGAGTAGGGTTTTCTAAGTTATCATCTTTAGCGAGACCTAAAGTAACTAACTGCATTCTGCTTGAACTGCACTTGGGCCGTGCTGGGAGGACACAGGTATACAAAGAACAGCAAAGACATTCCACTCCCATAATGCAAACTCCACCTTGTGTCTGTGGAGTCCATTTCATTTGTGCTCCAAGCCTCACTCTTTTGGGAGTTTTTCCTCACTGGTCTGAGATGATCTTGGCATTGCTCTGATAGGCAACTCTTCAACTGTTGCTCTTCAAGTTGCCTTATTTATGCGAGTGAATCACCAAAAGAAAACAAGTATGATCTATCTTCCTTTACTTCTTTTTGTGTGCTGGTGGTCGTGGCGGTAGTCTATTTTCATTACTCAATCTGCTCAATTTTGACTCAAATGGATAACTCCTCAAGCCAGAGCCCAGCTGTGGAGCCCCCCCTGCATGAAACTCTCCCGGTACAGTTGTCTCCCACAGTGGTCGAGACACCAAGAAGTGAAACAGCAGGACAAGTAGAGTTCTGATGAGGGGCTCAACAGGGAAATCGAACGTGGAAAGTTACCTGGGGACGTTTCCACACCACCTTCCCAGGAAGCAGTCGATTGAAGAAAAGAGAGTCATCCTCAGGCAGAAAGGTGGAGTCACAGAAGAGTCTGCCATCCCGCAGGCACGCCTGCTTCAAGGCCTTGTAGTTCTGGTGCTTGAAGAGCTTCATCGGAGGACCCATCGTATCCAGGTATGCCTAGACTGAGGGGGGGGTGTGAAAAAGTTGTTTTATTGGAAGAAGACATGCTATGATTTTATCAGGATGACCAGTGATTCGACAAATGTCAGTCATTCTAGTAACATCTTTCTAAAGATGGGCTCTTTAACTTGATTTTAAAGTTAAAATACCCCATTATTTTATAACCCATTCTCCGGGGTAGAAAATTCTGGGCTCTGCAACTAATTCCTTACAAGATGACTTGCACCTTTTTGGAGTGCCTCAATTTCTTCACATCTACCACGAAGGTCATGTTTGAAAAACATCTCCAACTCACAGCTCCTAATTCCTAGCTACCCCACAGGACAGAGTAGAACTGCCCCTGCGGGCTTCTGAGACGGTAACTCCTTACAGGAGTAGGACATTTCATCTTTCTCCCAAGAAGCCACTAATGCTTTCAAACTGCTAACCTTGTGGTTAGCAGCCCAACATGTAACTCACGATGCCTGCATCATCTCAATGGGAAAAAAATTTTTGAAATGTGCAGCTTGCTAGTAAACAGAGTCCTTGTAATTTAAAAGGCACTCTTCCATTTAACACTGACGGGCAGGGTGTCGGGAGGTCAAGGTATACACAGAACAATGCAAAATTTGAAGATAAAGAGGAAAATCACTTTACTCTATCCAGAATAGATTGGTGTTCTGGAAGTCCACACACTTTGTACATGAGGGGGAAAGCAATCCCTTTCAATAATAATAATTAAAAAGCTTTAAGAAAAAAAAAACCCTACAACCCTTTAACACAATTCCTTCTCCTTCATCATTCAAAGAGCTTTGCATCTTTGTGTGATCGGCCGTAAAGGCTAATGGATGAAGCGCAGTTCAGCAGATGGCCCCCAAAAACAAGGAAAGAAAGAAAGATTGTATGAGTCTTTCTTCTTCAAAGTCTAATGTCCAACCATTTGCCCACAAGGAAAAGCAGGCTCTGCAATTCAATTATATTAATTTGGTGGACGATGGAGTTTTGTCCGATGGCAATACACTATTGCTTTCTTTTCTTAAAAGCGAGAGAGAAAAGAGGAGCTGATACCAAGGGCTCCAATAGAAAGTAAGTGTTTAGAAACTAGTGATGGCAACATATGTACAAATATGCTTGATACAATTGTTGTATGGATTGTTATAAGACCTGTAAGAGCCCCCAATAATATTATCTTAATTTTTTTAATTTAAAAAAGCGAGAGAAAATGAAAGTCTCACATGGTTAAACAGAGAATATAGTGGCTCTTCAGCAAATTTTATCAGTGTCCCACACGCAAACACTTGGAACAATTGTTTTTTCTATAAGGACATTTTGAAAGGCAACTTTGATTTTAAATAGCTTTGGGGTGATACGTGGCTTTTCAATGCCTTTTGCTTGAATCACAAAGGTAGATGTGTAATGATTTTAATGATCTCCTCTTGACAATCAATAGTAAAGAAGAGGGACCTGTGACATTTTCATGCCATCAATGATTTAACAAACATACTTTAGGCACAAATGTATTTATAGTCCCAGGCCAGGAAGATCATATGTTTCTGTTGAAACAACAATTTTGACTCAATATTGCAGAGTATCTGCTCAAAACTGCATGAGATTAAAAATGACAAGAAGAACTTGACGAAATTAGCACATGAAAGGCTGATTATCTGTGTCAGCAAACCAAGTGCACGGCCAGCGGAAAGAGCAGAGATCTAATAAAGAGGCAGTCACTATTTCATATAAGGTGAATTATTCATCAGACCTCTCTATTAGCTCATTTCATTCCCTTTCAGTATATTACATTGAAATGTTTTATGGGCCAAGGGATGTCCACATTGGAACATCATGAGCTATTTTAATTCGGTGTTATTTGCAATTTAACAATCTATGTTAACCAACTTACTCTTGTCCTGAATCTCTGGTCTGACTCTAGCCTTATTTATTGATAGTTGCTTTTCAAAGTGAGGGTTGTGGGGCACGACAAAACAACCCATATTCCTTCAGTCATTGACTTCAGAACTACTCCGACGGTTTAAATATTCAAGTGTATTTCACTGTCTTTGAAAGCATCTGGTTGTTGTTGTTAGCTGCCATCGGGTTAACTGCAACTCCCAGTACCACTTGTGACAGAGTAGAACTGCCTCATAGGGTTTTCAAAGCTATACTCTTTATGGGAGCAGATTGCTAGGTTGTTCTCCCATGGAGCCACTAGGTGGGTTCGACCCGGCAACCTTTTGGTTGGCAGATGAGCATGACCAGGACCCCAGGACCCGATTGGTGGCCCAGGCTCCTTTCACTGAACCCCAATATTCCTTGATGTTCAAGTTTCTAACAAACATTACGGCAGCTGGAGCATTTCCTAGAAGTCTTGGATTGCTGGAGACTGGGGGCTGTAATGAGGGACAGTCTGAGACAATTAGCACATTGACTTTGCCAGAATCTCCTAGTTTCTGCCTCTTCTGGCTAAATGGGCATTTCCTGTCCTTGAAAGGGCCTGCTACCCCCAGCAGCCTCTCTGGGACTCAGTCAAACAGCAGACAGGAGTCTGCAGAGGAAATCCCTGTTATAAAGAGGGCTTGTCAACAGGCAGAAAAGACACCAATTGAAAAGGAAAACAGATTTGAGTTTAAAAACCTGTATGTTCCAAGGAGATTCTTTCAGAAATAATAAATCGAGAATAGGATGCTATCAACCTGAACATTGAGATGCTTTCATGAGGGTACAAGCCCTTGTGGGTTTCTGAGGCTGTAAATCTTTCCCAGAACAGACAGCCCCATTTTGGAACTGCCAACCTTGAAGTAAGCATCTGCTTACCCAAGGAAACGGTAAGTGAATAGTATTTTGAACAAGAATGTCAGAATTCCACTGGAAGCCGTCCATCTTCAGTTTTTCTCCCTCTGACTACCTGGCATAGAGCCAAGCACACAGACCATTGTTCAGGAATAGTTGTTACATTGATGGATGGCTTTTGTAAAAGATTAATGTTTTGGTTAAGCGCTCAGTTGCTACTCAAAGGGTGGCCATTTAAACCCACAAGCCACTCTGCTGCACAAAAGATTGAGTAATCTGATCCCCTGTGGGGCAGTTCTACTCCATTGTGTAGGGTTTCCATAAGTTGGAATTTGACTCAGTAGCCCCCAACAGGACACTTTGCTTTTGAACACGTTCTCTCCCGGCAGTCGTCCTCAGTAGCTACTCTCTGTCCTTCATTTTATATCTGCAGACTTGGCAGATCAGAGAAGGGTATGTAGATACTGGCAGAGCAAACTCACACCTAGAGTTTGCCGGTTTGGGGGTGCTGTCTATCCTACCGGAGTTCTCCTTTTGGCCACTTCCTTCTTAAAGAAGGAATTTTTGTTTAAACTCAAATGAGGAAAACCCTCCAAAGTAAACACTACACACACCTCGGAGGCATTCTGCCTAGGATGTTCTACCGGTTGGCATTGAAAGGATTTTTCAATGGCTTGATGGCCGTGGAAGAATGTAGACCCATGGTGTCGGAGGGCTCATTGGTTAGCTCTCAGAAAACCCTTGGAAACTGAGGAATTTATAAGTTGGGCACGTCATGAACAACTCACCTGGTCAGAGCATACGGAGAAGTGAAGGCCCCTTCTTCACCGTCCTACTGCACTCAGCAGTGAGAGGAAGGGGGGAAGATGTAAGTTTAAAGACTAGGTCTTATGCCCCTCAGCCATAGCTTGTGGCCTACGTGGTTAGCTGAGGCAGACCCTGGGGGTGAACACTGCCTTGGGCAGCATCATTTCAACTGGAGCTCAACTGCCTGGAAAAATTCCGGAAGAAGGTCACATAGACCTGGGAAAGGGAAAGGGCAGGTCCAGAGTTGGGCAAGTTGGGAATTGCCAAGGGAAAATGAGGGAGCCTGCCATGTCAGGAAGCAAGGCTGCCATTAGGGGTGAGAAGCTTTTGCTGCTTCCTGGATTGTAAAACTTGGGGAGATCTAGGCAAATTCTTCAGAGAAAAATCACTGGCTTCTTTAGCCCTACGGTCAGCCTTAGGGTAGAAACCAGCTTTTGCACTTAAAACACGCACACCAAAAAAAAAAATGCAACCTGATCTGATAAAGAAAATCCCGTCTGTGGGGAGAGTGGGAGGGGACACTAAGGAGTTTCTGGAGGAGGAAGGAGGGAGCATGGCTCTGGAGCCATTGTTTCTCCCTTCCCTCAGCCCCCCCCCCCCTTGTTAAAGGCTTGGAGTAGACTCCGAGATGAAGGCGATTTTAGTTGGATGAGCACATTGACCCAACACTGTCAATGTAGCACAAACTGCTTCCCTATCCCCACACCTGAGGGTGGGGTGGGGTGAGAAATGGAGCTTGAAGAATTTAGCATCAATATTCCACACAGGGAACAGTGTTTCCGTATCTACACAAGCAGAGCCGTATCTTACATGTCACCCATCTACCAGGGGACATAGGGCTGTTCAGAGTCTCTGAAAGGAACCACAAAAACCCTTCCAGATCTCACCTTTGGCCTTATATGGGATTTTCCTCCTGAGCTCAGAGAGGGTTCTTTTCAAGGACATTCAAAGACAAAAATGGCCACAACCAGCGCGCACCCCCCCCCATCTAATTTTCTTTAATTCCACTGCTGAAGAATTCTATATGAAAACCCAAGCAAATCAACAATCAGACAAACAAACTAAAAAACCCCAACAAGCAATTGAGAAACACAAATAGAACACAGAGCGGAGATGGAGGATCAAGTCCCCGACGCCACCATTTTGTGTTGCTAACATCTCCATTTCCTCAGAAGCACATGGGAAGTAGGGTGACTTCCTTGGCTACCTCACAGTGTTATTGGGAAAAGCGAATGGAGTGAAATCTGTGAGTGTAATTTTTTTCCAACCTGTTACCAACAAAGGCATTTTGGAGCAAGACTATTAGGAAATGCTGTTTTCTTGGCATTTAGTAAATTCAGTAAATATCTCTTCCGTCCTTTGTGGAAACCATGTCAATGATCTCAAAAAAGACACACCAACATTTAACAGCAAATACTAATGGCCCTTCCACCAATCTCTGTTGTTTGTAAGGGTCCCCAATCTTTTCAGAGCGCAGGGGCCAAGCTGTTGGGTGGGTTTGAATCGCCAACCTTTTGGTTAGCAGCTGAGTGCGGAACTCGTGCGCCACTAGGGGTCCTCTCTCATAACCCCTCCCTGTTCCATTTCTCCTTTGCCAACGTGGTGGTGGTGCTCTTTACCCGATTCTCCTCTCCGCTACCCCCCTCCCCGCTTTGGCTGGATGCGCTTATCATATGAGTCTTATTTTACAGCCTCATTTTCATAGACGGTTAGGCTACAAGAACACTTTGAAATCACTTCGCCCAACTTCACTATTTTGCAGAGACGTAAAGGAATTTGGCTGAGGTTCCAGGGCTACTGAGCTGACACTCTGCTATAAGTCAGATCGCCTCTTTTCACTACAATTTTTACACAGGGAGGAGGGGCGGGGGTGGGGGTGGGCATGAACACACACGGTTGCAACACGGTGTTGGTTAAAAAACAAAACAAAACCTCGGTGCCCTCTTCCTACAAGCATGCACTTAGGCGTTTGAGTTTTTAAATCACAAGCTGTCAGAAGGTGAGATGAGTTCAAATCAAGGCTAATCAAAGAAACACTGTTTGGGGGTGGGTGTCACAAAAGGGCTTGTTTTCCTGCTTTTGATTTAGGAATGGAAAACTCTCAAGGATAAGGACAGTCGGCTTTTTAACCTCTTCTAGACCACTCAAGTGCTTAGGTTCTTAAGGGTGGTTTTTTTTTTTTTTGGTGTGTGGGGGGCTTGTATTTTTCTTAGCCTGCTGGGAACTCTAAGAACAAATAAAGGAGGTTATTCAAATCCAAAGTATGCGGCTGGGGACAAGTTAAAAAAAAAACCTGCCAAAGAAATATCGGTCCCCACAGGCAGCCCTTTGTGGAATTAAGTGACTGGCTGCTCACCAACAGAAAGGTCTGCTGTTCGAACCCTCCCAGGGGCTCCCAGGCAGAAAAGACCCCACCAGTTGTTCCTGGAAAGAGGTACCGCTTCCGAGGACTGTCCTACAAGCTCTCTAGAAGTTAGCGCGGGCTCCACCAGGCACCCTGCAATGTTAATTTCACCACAAAGATGAGCATATGTGACATTGGGCAAATCGCCTACAACCAGAATTACCAACCCCAGTGGCTTTTAGGACAGCAAGAATGTGTTGAAATTTCTCAGGCACTTTTCATCCACTTTCAGAGTCCCAATTCCCTTGTTTTCTATCCCCGCCGCCCGACAGTGCGGGTCCAGCAACAAGCCCGTTAGCCCGCTGCCCCAGCAGCAAAGCAAAGTTTCAACCCAGGGAGGATCCCAGGAGAAAACCTGTCTAGGGGCAAAAAGGAAAGAACCAAGGGCAACCTGTTACCCCTCCCCTATTTGTGCGGAGCAGGAGCCCGGGGCACGGGGGGCGGGGCGCAGCCGCCACTGCCGCTCTCGCAGGGGTACTGGGGCGACGGACACAGGGGGGTTCGATGATTTGGCCCTGGTTTCGGTCATTTGTCCACAACTGCGGGAGAGCGGGAACGGGACTGAAGCCCCTGAGTCTTCGGCGGGCGCTGCCCCGGCTCCTCTGGGGTGCTCTTCACTTACCAGGTATTTCGAGTCGAAAATGAAAAGAGAAAAGAAACAAATCTAACCCGATGACCAAACCCCGCAAAACGAAACAACCCCCACCACAACCGAACCTACAACCCCCAAACCTCGAGGCTGGACAAACCGTCCCCCCGGACTTGGATTCTTGAAATTTCCCCTGTGCTTTCACGTACATACATTCGATCGAGAGAAAGCATCCAAGTCCCGCTAGCTGGAGCGTTTGAGTAACTGGAACATTCGAGTTTCTTCACCTTCTTGGTGAGCCAGCAAAGAAAACTTGAGGAAAAGTTTGGGGGCTGCCTCGTCTACTTACCTGACCTATTGAGGAGCTGCCTCGCTGCTGCCGCTGCCGCTGCCGCTGCCGCTGCTGCCGCCGCTGCTGTTACTGCTTCTCTTGGCCAGGTAACCCTCACCAAGACCCGCCAGCAACTGCTGCTGAACAAAGATTCAGGCTTTCTTAACCTGAAAACTATTTGGGCGGTACCAATCTCCGCTCACAGGGGGAGGTGCCTGCCGCAACTTCAGGAGCCTTTGTCCCGCCCCGCACTCAGATCCTGACCCTGAGTCGTGAGGAAAAGCTGGAAGGCGCTTCTGCCAGATGTGCAGACGGGATGCCCACCCCAGACCCACCCACCAGCAAATTGAAAAGCCCAGGAAACCACATTTGAAAGCTTTTTTCCCCTCTTTTGCCCTGTTCTAAAGTGAAGTAAGAGTTGCAAGGAGAGGGTCTTCTAGCCTGGGGGCTGGTCTGTCTCTGAGCTCACAGTGCAGATGTGAACATTACTCAAGAGAGGCAGCAGAGAGAGAGAGAAAATCTCAACGTGCTAGCAAAGTTCTCTTGGGCTAGGCTGCAGACATGGCCGCTGTGCACACAGCTCTGCCTACGGTGGAGCGAATGAAAGAGGAGCTAATGAGGGGCAGGGAAGAAAAGGTCACTGCGTGAAGTTAGCAGGTTATATCTGGCTAAGGAACCGCTGCTGAGAAAAGTGCATGGAATTTATTTCTGTGGCAGCCAGGAGAAGCCTAATTTCTAGCAAGGAGGTTGTGGGGATTCTTGACGGTGTTAAGTGCAAAGCAGAGCAAATAGCCATGTTTGCTCTGCAAGGCCAACCAGGGACTGGGGGG